GTGCCTTACAGAGAACAGTGAATTCTTGCAGAGAGAAAATGAGTGCAATAAATGCCTTGTTTGATTAAGGTTTTCTTGAAGTTTGTCTTTAGAGTTTTTTAAACTCAATTGTAAGGCACTTTTTGTGACTGGCAATAGAATAATTCAGTCTGGCATTCCTTCAGCATCATATTATAGAACCCAGTCATGCAACCAATGATTATAATGCATTTGAAGTCCTGTGTTGCGGCAAGAGCTCTGTTCTAGTAGTAGGAAGTCGATATATTTTCAAAGAAATATAAAAGTCCTTGCTTAATTATGAACTCTAAGAAAAGATAAATAAAACCATACTCTAAATTATCTCTTTCCATCAGGAAAAGAAATTAAGCTCAGTGGCTTGATTGGAAAACAAAACATTCTTGTCATGCGACTTAACCATGGCATTAGTCCTTTTGTCCTCATTTCTTTTTATTTTATCCATCCCTTCTTAAGCAGAACAATTCATCCTCTGACACCTGCTGATTCTGTATGCACACATCCATCTGTTTTGGTCTTCACCTGGTTATTATTTTTCTTGTTTTCTCAGGGGATGGTTCTGCCTATAGAGATCTGGTTATTAAATTTGGTGCAATTACGCCGCTGCTCAGTTTACTGGCTGTTCCTGATCTCTCTTCTCTGGCTGTAAGTGTGTGGTACAATTCAAATCACAGTTACTAATAAGTGAGCAAAAGAGCTCAAGAAACCGAACAGTCACTACTATTTATTTCAACTCTTGCAGTCTGGATATTTACGCAATGTTACCTGGACCCTCTCAAACCTGTGTCGTAATAAGAATCCTGCGCCACCCATAGAAGCTATTGAGCAGATTCTTCCAACTCTTGTTCGTCTTTTGCACCATGATGATCATGAGGTGTTGGCAGACACATGCTGGGCGCTTTCCTATCTAACAGATGGTTCCAATGACAGGATAGAAGTTGTAGTGAAAACAGGATTGGTGCCACAACTTGTGAAACTCCTGGGATGTAGTGAACTGCCAATAATGGTAAGCTATCAGACATGCAGATTGCTGTTGCTTGATTTGAGTGGTGAATAACACTACAGTTAGAATAGTGTCGGTGTAACCAGTGCTTTTTAATCATAAATCTGATGACTGTTCCAGAAGCTTCTATCTTGCCTGGAGACTGCCCCACATGACTGTTAAAGACTATCAAGCTTCTTTACATAATTGTTGAATTTAACGCATAGGCCAACACAACAGTCAACATCCCTTAAAGCTTGCTTTTAACTAAATTACTGTTGAAAATCCTCATTCTAGGGACAGTGTTTGAAGTTGGCTCTGTGCACACTATAACAAAGTACAATAACACTGTGTTAGTACTTAAGAGATAGTTTTTCCTAGGCTTTGCCATGGGTAGTTGTTTGCAGATTGGCCGGGGAAAGTGTGCAGTCTTGGCACGCTTAATGTCTGCAGATATAATGCTAACAAAGAACTTAAAACTCATCAGTACATAGCATATTATACTGTTGACTGGGTAAGCTAGAGCAGAGGGGCATCAAATATGGCTGTACTTATTCAAATCCATATTGGAGAATACCTGTTTTCCTAAGTTCTATTTCGTATTTGTTTCAGACTCCTTCATTAAGAGCCATAGGAAATATTGTCACTGGTACTGATGAGCAGACACAGATTGTTATTGACTCAGGAGCACTTTCTGTCTTTCCAAGTCTCCTTTCTCATCATAAAAGCAACATTCAGAAAGAAGCAGCATGGACAATGTCCAACATCACTGCTGGGCGACAGGACCAGATTCAGCGAGTTGTGGACCATGGTCTTGTACCTTATCTCATTGGTATTCTCAGAAAGGTAAACAAAAACTGTATTTACCAAGTTGAGGCTTTTGCTATTTCTGCTACTGTTTGTGTTTAAATATCCTGCTTTTACTTTCATAGGGAGATTTCAAGTCTCAAAAGGAAGCCGTGTGGGCTGTGACTAACTACACAAGTGGTGGAACAACTGAGCAGATAGTGTATCTCGTTCAGGCTGGTGTTGTTGAACCCCTACTGAATCTTCTCTCAGCTAAAGACAGCAAAACTGTGCTAGTTATTCTGGATGCTATTTCTAATATCTTCTTGGTATGTGGGTGCAGTAGACTCAGTCATTGTCTGAGGTGTTGCTAGTGGTTCTCCAGTAGTTGGTGATATGTGCCTCTCCTGAGGTTGTCCCATGCTTGTCTCTTGCAGACTGCTGAGAAGATTAATGAGACTGAAAAACTTTGCCTCATGATCGAAGAGTGTGGAGGTCTAGACAAAATTGAAGCTCTTCAGTCACATGAGAATGAACAAGTATACAAAGCCTCATCCACCCTGATTGAGAAATATTTCTCAGCAGAAGTAAGTGGCTGCAGGAAGATATTTTTTTCCATTTTTATTTTCTATTTTCTGACTACTAGGTTGAAATGCTCTTTCAAAACTCTTCTTTTCTAGGAGGAGGACGACCAAAATGTTGTACCAGAATCTACTGCTGACAGCTACACTTTCCAAATTCAGGGCGGTATTCCAGATACTTTCAACTTCTAGGTCTTGCATATGCTGCAACCACCTGCAAGTTGTTTGGCACACAAATGACTGCCACCTCTTTGTCTTAATAGTTCCTCTTGGTTTTTACTGTGGGTGGGTTTTTTGTGACCTGTAGCACTTTTTCCAACTGAAACATACTTGAACAGTTCAAAACTGTACATATTATGTGAATTTCTAACTGTAAACTTCATTCTTTCTGAGAGATACCTGTAAATACTCATTCTCTTTCTTTCTGGCTCTTACTGTCTCTGTCAGGCACAAGAATGCAAGTGGCCGATACAGGCTTCTCACAAAGCAATGAGCCATTACTGTGCATAACCTCTTTGTAACCTATTACATTCTACACAACCTATTGCTGTAATCAATACAGAGTAGGCTTTTAAAGAGGATTTATGTTTAAAGGTCAATAAAGTGACATCAATATATCAAACCAAACTGTGTCAATTGCTCTTTTAAAACATGACTGGTAGGATAAGTATAATTAATTAAAATGTATAATGACAAGAATGTAATAATGTGGGCCTAAACCATGAGTGATTCGATTCTGAAGATCATGATTTTGAAACAGCTTGGTCATGCCAAGCTCTAGCTCTGACTTCTGTGTATAACAGCCTTCTGTTACTGCTGATTAAATGAATTGCTGCTTCCCTCTAGTTTGTAGCATCAATACTTAACCGCAAGTAATTCGTGTGGAGAAGCTGTAAGTACAGCAGTTAGCCAATTGTAAATATGTTCAGGTAGCCTCAGCACAGAGGACAGGAAATGCTTTGAAACAGTTGCCTGCTCTAAAAAGCAAAACCAAAGTCTTCTTGGACTCTACTTTCCTCCTGCTTCCAAGTGGTTATTTACAGTAACCTACTTGGTCTCTAAAGGTGGTTGTACAGGGTGGATTTTTGGAGGTGGGGTGTAGTAGGCAAAGGAAAAGCTGTAGTCCTGTTTTCCAGCTTCTTGTAAAAACTCGGATTGAGCTATTTCATTAACTGGAACCTCCTAGAAGTTGATGTGTCTGAAAAACTAAATTGACTCAGCTCTCAGCTTCTCTAGCTCTTATGATAGTGCAGAAGTTGTTTTTCATGGCTAGATTTCTCATAAGCATGGCATATTTGAAATATACCCAAAATACAATACTACAGTGACATGCTACCCTTTCAATTTATTAATAGAAGGGGGGGGAAGGTAATCTGTAAGCAATTCTCCCAGAGTTCTCATAGGCTTTGCTTCCCCCCCTCCCAAATTGAGCTACATAATACTTAGTTAAAGGAGTTATTGCTAATGTGGAAGATGCCACTCTCACTTCCATTATTGTGGTGCAAGGCTGCTGCTATCTACTTTGTGTTTGCTTACAAAAATGGTACCCTCCCTCATTGGAGGTTGATAAGTCTCTGTGCAAGCTGGTTGCTTGGATCTTAGGTACTGCTGGGTGGTGATAAAAGTTACAAAAAGGTAGTGGATAATTTGTCTGCATGTAAATTCATATTTCTTATTGTGGTTAGTAGTAATGATGTTACCCGTGACCTCACCAGTCTAAGCACACTGCTCCTGGGCTGTTCAAGCCATGCAAGTCTCTCCATCCGACTCGGAACGTGAACTCAGAGATGCTGTCGTTGCTGTCACTGGTGTAGCAGCAGGGGCTTGCAAAGATAGCCTTGCAAAAATCCCAGTATCCTGAACTAGTTAACAATTACTCCATCCATACTTTTGGCTGTACCGCTTTAACTGTTTTTCTTTTCCCAAAGCAAAGCTGCAGCAAGAAATAAGTTTTACTATAGGAGTCTTTCAAGACAATCAGGCCAGTAGCTATTGTAACTGTATTGCATCTTCTGCTTGAGGGGCTGATGTGTGACTGACCTGTCTGCATCTGTGCTGCCAAGTGAAGGGTGAGAACAAACTCTGGCTGCTCCCAGCCGTGCTGCCTTCTGTATCCGTGGGAGAGACTGCAGGTGGCATCCAGCACCTGCAGAAAGAGCCGTAGGCAGTGCCAGACTGAGGAGCAGAACTCAAGTCTAACACTACGGATGCTGCAACCCCCTTGGGACCAGATCCCAGCTTTATCTTAGCAGTACCCGTGCCAAGTGGAAAGAACCATCTGTCTTGCAATATCTTTAATATTCTGGGGGGTATATCCAACCAAATAGGGCTCATGCATCTGCAGTGAAGCCTTGTGTGTCCTTTGCTTTGTTGTCAAATCTCCAACTTTCATCTGAAAACATCAGTGTTATATTTTCTGTATAACTGTCTATAGAGAACTGAAAGAATTAGCCTATATAAAGCAGATATTAAAAGTCAATCAATGCTCCCATATACTTTATGTTTGTAGGTTTATAAGGGCAATAACACAATGACTTGTGCATCAGAATTCTTGAGTAACTTTAGATTTCTAACTCTGTAAAATATTGCATCTTCCAGTAGAGGGTGCTATAGGCAACCGCACAGTCTCGTTTGTTTCTACGAGGTTGATGCGGAGTTTCACCCAGCCTGGACCAGGTATGATGTATTTTATTTTCCTACTAAGAAAATACTGAGATAAAGTCCATCGGGGCACCTCTTGTAGTTACAGAAAACACCTATGTGCTAATTCCCGAGCATATAGCCAGATTAAATGTCGTATATCAGGGTACTGTTACTTTAAAACTCAACTCCTTGCTTTAACTGCTTTTTAGTATATATGCAGTTAATCTGGTTTTCCTATTTCTGTATATAGAAAAAGGGATGAGAATGCAGAACACTTGTTGAAAAGCATTGTCTTTACTGTCTTTTTTTCCAGAAGTACTTCTTTCAGAATTATCTAATATACTGAGCTAATAATAGAATACTGCAAAATCTTCTCTAAGTGCCTGATACCTCAGTGGCCTAATAATTAACTTTCTGGGGACCGAGGCTTTGTTTTTATCCAAGAAAAATGTGTTCCGCCTATCGACCAATGAGCCCTGTTCTTGGCAGCACGTATTTCCACAAGCAACAATCTGCAGTGATTATGAGTAAGTGACTGGGGTGAGTCACTCCTTATTCTAAGAAAATGCAAACTATTTCTGAGGTTAAGATCACAGTCACCCATTAGGCTGTATCTCTAGCTTAAAAATATAGCAGGAGCAAAAAGAGAGAGAATTATTATTGCTCCTGGTTCTTGGTTTGTTGGTTGGTTTGGGGTTTTTTGTGTGTTGCCCAGCCAGATTTGAGAGCTAGCCTTCTTTATTTGGCAAACGCCTAATTCAGGACAAGGGCTGGAATAAATATCTGGTGGCCTGTGTGTCAGTCAGCCAACTCCTTTGTGCTGAGAGCAACAATAACAGACCCCTGCTGACATCAACTGCCTTGGAATGCAGTTGTTGCTAGTGCTATTTTATCTGTGGAGTGATGGTAAGATTTCAGTCTTGGATCCCAGAAAAAGTAACCACCTCCGAAATTCTGATGCTAGCAGATGCTGCGGGTGGACTTGCTTCCCCTTGCTCTTTCCAAACATGCTGGGCTCTGAAGGGGAGCAAAAGCTTTACAGTCCTGTTATTCAATAGTCTGTCTAGAAACAGTTAGAAAAGGTTGAAATGGTTAAAGTAGAAGTCTATCCTTTATTTCCTTGTGATTTAGACTGAAATATCCTTATAAAAGTGAAGCTGCTTCCTGCCACTCTACACAGAGTGATTCAAATTGTACTGAACTACGCAGTGGTATATCGGCAAAAAAGAAGAGCTGTAAGCTTACCGGAAAAGGAATTCACTAGCCAACAATATTTTACCTATCTCTTATTTTCCTAAATCTGTTTTGCAGCAGAGCAAACTGCGATACAAGAAAGCTATCCATAGATGGCCAGAAAGAAGCTACCTGGAGCCTGGGAATCCTGATGTCCACTCCTCTAGTTAACCCTTTTCCTGAATATAGGATTATCCCAGCAGGATTGAACCTCTTTTGTGATAAGGTACGATATAACATTTAAGCACAACTCTATATTTTGGGAGTGTGTACAAATTGGGGAAAAAACTACTGTTATTCAAAACAGAAGTAATTAATGAAGATTAATTGTAACTAGTGATATTTGGCCTAGAAAGGAGAACATTAGCACTCTTACTTAAAACCTAATAGGAAACACATTAACCCTTTGGCCTGAGTTAAAAAATTAAGCTTGACTCAGCTTCGGGGAATGTGTTAGGAGAAAATTCTAACCTCTGCTAATGTTGGGAGGGGTGTACCTCACCCAATTGCAAATTTCAGGAAAAAAAACATTCACTAGAACACCCAAGCTACAAGTGTGCAAAGTCGTTCATTGTGTTTGGAAAACGCTTCCTTCCGATTGATCATTAGCATGGAACTGACGTGAGTCAGGCGGAAACTCAGCATGTAGATTGCTAAGAAAGAACTGATTTGCCATGAGTTTCATAGCACTTCATATGGAATAAGGGTCACTGGAATCCAGTCCCGTTTCTGACTGCAGAGCACTGTCTGTCTCAGACTGGCTCCAGGAAATGGACGCTCTTCCGCTGAAGCCAGAAGATTTCGTGGAAGAGCCATGGCCTGTTTCCAGGTTGCAGTTCACCCACTGCTCTAGGGAGTGTCATTAGTGGGAGGGAAGTGAAATTGGGGGATTTAAAGGGTTGAGGAGAGAAAAATTAAAACAGGATGGGGAAAATATTCTGATAATCCTTATTAAGCAGAACTTGCTTGACCACATTAAAATGTTATGCTAATCATTTAAATAGAACAATGAGCCAAATTTGGAAGTCATGCATAAATCATATGTCAGGAAGGAAGTTCCAGGTGATTGATGTGTTAAAGCAAGATCAATGGCGCTGATTTCACTGTGGAAGAGGTTGGATTACACTTATGAGCTCAACAAAAAGGCAGTATAATGAGGAAGGGTTCTACTTTATTTTGTATCTTCCTCAATTTGCATTGCAATGTGAAATGAAAATGATGGGCTCATCTTCTGAAAGTGTGATTTTTAGATTTATATAGATATATATATAAAGTGGAAAGCTGCTTAACTTACCTGTAGCAGATTGCTTTGTGTATAGGTTCACAGGGGTAACATATTTATAATACCAGGAGTATGTAACTGTGCTCTGTGGGCATGTGAAAGATTGGATGTACAAAGTTATCAGAAAATCTTGAATAATCTCCAAGGCAGATTTCCATCATCCAAATCACTTCATTTTTACCTACTATATGAAACAGATGTAAAAATAGCTCTTTCATCAGTGGATTGCTACACATATTTGGGCTGCAGAGGTTTGACTCTGTTCAAGGCAATACTGTGAAATCATTTGCAGAATGTTGCTGTTAATCAGAAGCAGCAATTTAGTGTTATGTATCCATCTCTCCTCCCGCTCCCAGCTCCCCTTCCCAATTCTGAGCAGGAAACGATACTTGGACAGAGCTCAGCATACTAACTTTCTGGATAGACTCTCTAGGAATGAGGAGGGACTTGAATTCTCTCCATATGTCGTTTCCTTTCCCCTAATGGCTAAAAAACCCCATTGCTGCAGTCCATATAACTTACAATAGAGAAAACACTATATTCCATAAAGGAATATAAAGGCCAGGGGTGTGGGACAGACAGACAGGACATCCACATTCCATTTCTGAAGAACTGCTTCGCGAAATTTGACTTAAATTCAGCAGGAATCTTTCTTCTGTGTAGAAAGTTATTTTGTTTTATATAGTTCCTAAAGTTGAAGCTAATACCCCATCTGTACTTAAGGGTATGTCAACACCTGCAAGTCTGTGGCCAGACATGGATTAGAAAAGGAAAATGTTAAGTAGAGGAGGAGTGGTAACAACTGTGCATTTGTGCAACAAATGTAAATTGTCAGAAGGGAAAAACAGAGGTGGTTGAGGAAAACTGACAATGAGGATCTACTAGTTTCTAATAAAGTGAATTTAAATAGCAAATAATCCTAGAAATTACTTAAGAAAAATTAGAGGATTAGCCCCCTCCTGCAACCAGCTTTTGTCCAGGCCACCTTTAAAAACTTCTCTGTTCAGTATAACCAATAGCATGAGCAGATATCTTGCACTGCTGCAAAATACAAAATTTGATCTGCTGTATCGCACAGCAGATTTGCAGCTGTCAACAGAATCCACTGTGCTATAGTTACAAACAAAAAACCGACAGGAATAAACATGGCAAAAAACCCCAACCAAAAAACATTTTAACTAAATGGAGAACTTACTTCCTCATAGCCAACCAACCGCGTTTTAGACTCAAATTGGAACATAATGTCTTTCTAGCAATATAATCCAAATGTTTGTTAAATTTCTAGCAACCAAACCGTGCAAGGCACTTTGCAGAACAAATAAGAGATGACATTTGCTCAAAAAAACCCCAAATTTTGCAGTCAGTGAGTGAATACACTTGCACATAGGGGTTAGATGTATCTGTTTGTGGGATGATTGCATCTGATTGCAGAACTGAGACCTCATATCTTTTATTAAACATATTGTCTAATTAGATATATTGCCTTTGAATTCTGCTGCTAAAAAGAAGGAAAAAAAAACCCCACAAAAACCAAACAACAGTAAACCAAACACCTTTCCTCCAGTTCTATTTTAAAGGTTTTCAAGAGTGGAATAAAAGAATGATTCCAGACACAGGGTGACAGGTGTTGCTCATGGTTACTTTTAGCTCTTTACTAGACCCACTAACCTACTTAAATGTCTGTGCTGTTCTTACTGGTATGCAACCTTGCTTTATAACCTTTAGACTGAAATAATTTTAGAGATAACTCAAATTGATTTCACAGTGCATTTGTGGGTGATTCTGTTAAAAGAAAGCACAAGGGAAGCTTGTGGGTTGTGGGATGGGTTTGGTATTTCTGTAGTTCAGAAAGTGTTAGGAATTGGATCAAAAAAAGAGGGGTTGTTGTTTATTGAACCTTCAAATGCTTTTATGTCACAATTGATCTTATTTACAGATTTAGTGTTCATGTAATGTGTTTATAAATGTCTACAGACTTGTTACCCTAAGTCAAAATAGGGTGCTTCCAAAGCCAGTTAGCCTGGGTTCTCCTCAGTAATTCACAATACAGTGTGAATGTCTGCAGTGTGCACATTTTAGGGCAGCTCATTCTGAATCTTAGTGCTTGCTTCCCTATGGCAGCAAATAAGAATCTTGTGAGGATTAAGGCTTTGATAGCTATTTTTGTCTTTAAACCTTGCAGATTCAATTACCTGTAGTCCACCGTAATGTTACAATTTGATAAATCTCCTGGAATTAATCAATTCTCTTGAATGGATATCTTTGGAAGTAACTTGTATGAGGCACGTGGAAAAACTTACACTTGCTTGAAGAAACAGAAAATCAGAACTATCAGGTGAGGGCTGTTTGAAATGTTTACACTGCCCCAAGAGATTTGCTTTCTTTGCTAACATTAGACAGGCAGAGGAGCCCGTTGTCAGCCTTGTTGCCTGTCTATATCAGCATTTGTCTCTAATGGCCGTGGTCCCTACAACAGGTTGGAATGGCATAAATTGGTCCTCTTGAAGACCTCATTTTAACCCCTGATGTGTGGAATTTTGCAAAGCTAGAATAATGAGGTTTTAATCCCTCTATCTACATAAGTAATGATGGCCAATAAGAACAAGATAATTATGCCAAAGTATTAAGGCTTATCAGATAATTTTCCACGGTTTTTGGTGGCAGTCAGAAAAACATCTCTGTTTTCCTTGGCTGCATGGATGGAAGGTGCATCATACAACATTTTTTACTTCTCCCAAAGCACTAGATAGTGGCTGTGGCCCAAGCAGGATGTTCGCTAGGCAGACCAAGGGATGGATTTAATGTGGCAGCTCCTTTCCAATGTATCACTCTTGTTCAACAGTTTCTAAGGGGTGAATTTACAGCAGCAGAACTGAGTCAGCTTTTGGCATTGCTGTCCATGGCACCCTCCTCTCGGTATCAGCGTAATTAAGACTCAGAGAGACTTACTGTAGTGGAGATTTTACAGTTCATGTTTTGCAGACAACAGAATTCTTATTTCAAACTGATCTGGGCCATCAGTGATAGGAAAGATTAGAGAAGGTTGGATATTCATTTAGTAGCTAAACAATATGGCTTGGTCAAAAACAGTCCTCTATGTCAACACTCTTAAATACTTGTTTGGGCTGACAGTCTTCCTAATAACACTTCATTTGTCTAAGCTGCGTACCACTGGGACAAATACACAATGTCAAGTTGAATTAGACAATATCTGGAGACAGATGCTGTAGCAGAATACTAAAGTACATTCTTGATATGTGTCACTCAGAGGAGACTGTTTCTAACTGTCTTATTCTGTAAGGTATTTTATGAACATATTTATATCAGCCAAGTACATCTAAGGGTGAGATTCTACAGTTGCTTCGTTCACAAAGCAACATTAGAAAGTCCTGCAGAGCAGTTACATGAAGAACATTCTTCGGGAAACCTTAGTAATTTCAGTTGGAATACTTCCCATGCAGCTCTCAAAGCGCTTGAAAAAACCAGTCATGCAAGAGTCTGGTAAAGAAATTGAATTATCAACAGTATGTTGTAGGTAAATACGTGGAAATCATGAAAGAATAAAGGAAATACTTTTTCAGAAATAGACCTTATTTTTGGCCCAGGACTTTTGAAGACCTAGTTTGTGCTTTGAGTCAGCATTCCCACTGATTTTGCACATAAGACAAATCAGGGAAAATCCTTTAGGCCTAAGATACTTCACTATGCTTAGAGACTGAATCTAGGCCCTGCCCTTTGTCCTGGGCTGTTAAAAATATGCAAATCCTGTCATTGGGTCATGGGTTGTGAGACAGTGTATGTCCAGCAGCAGAGAACAGTGTTGACTTGAGCTAGGCAACAGCCCTGGAACATAGGTGTAACCCAGCTATTTACCCAAGCAGCAGCACATGGTTCCTCACAACCTCATTCAGAAGGTGAATTTTCACCTCTGGCTGGTA